AAGGCAAGAAAGATGGCAGAGAAACTGGCTTCTTGGTGCCAGAACGGTTTGCTGTTACACCTTCTGGAAGACTGGATGAAACGGAGAAAGTGGCATCCTGGAGAGAGGAATGCATCTTGGTGCAAAGAGCTTTTTCTGCATTTGCAAATGAGGAATGTAAATAGAGAAACCGGTTGGCGTTTTGGTGCCAAAAGCAACATCTGCTGCTTAGGATATGAGGGCAAGAAGGGCGGAGAAGCTGGCATCCCAGCAGTGGAAGAATTCACTGCTGCTTTTGCAGTGATAAATGTAGAGAAACTGGCAACTCTATATTTGAAAGCTTGCTGCTGAGTTTGTGAATGAGGGATAAAGAAGAACCAGCATCTTGGTGCCAAGTTTGCTATTGCATTTGTAAAGGAGGGATAGAGGAAGAGAAGCGAAGGTTGTCAGAATATGGTCTCTCGGAAGCACCACCATGACATTTGGAGTGTTTCTTGGATTGCCGGAGGAAAAGCGATGAACGCAGAGCTTAAGTAGTTGTTCATGTGATGCGCTGATGGATGAGAGGGCGATTGTAGAAAATGGAAGGGTGAGTAAAATATATTACTCCTGTGAGATAAGCTGTGTTTAAAGGTATTCGCAGAGACCGGACCCAGACGTAAACGAGAATTAACAGCTTGCAAAAATGGGGGAACCTACATACATGACGACCGGAAGGAGCATGTTTGGAGCAGAGGTGGGTCGAGTATCTAAATATTGTACTCAAGTAAGAGTAGCATTACTTTAAAATATTATTACTCAAGTAAAAGTGAAAAGTAATCGTCAAAAAGTTACTCAAGTAAGAGTAAAAACGTACTTGGCTAAAAGACTACTCAAGTAGTGAGTAACTGTTTGAAATATCCGATTTATTTTATAAATAAATGCTATCAGACAAACAAAAATAAATGAATATACAAAGTTTAGTATTTTCAAAAGGAATATATGTAAAAACATCAACAAAATAAGGCACAACAATTCTAATTTCCAGATTTCAGTTTTTCACAACATAAAGCTTTTTTCACCAATACCTAGAGTAAATAATATAAATATATAAACAGTGCAAACAATTTCCAGTGACAAGATATGCTGTAAAGTTTATATTCATTTTTGCTCCAAATGGCACAGCAGCCTCAGAGAAAACATTAGTACGAGGCATCTTCAACATATGTTCATACAAGGCAGCTCAGTTTACCATAA